CAATTGCAACCACTGGTTGCAACCACCTTTACAACCATTTTGTTTCCTTTTTTGGATTGCGACATGGAACACTAGTTGAGATTATGAGCATTTATAAATACGGCTTGTTGGTAAATAAAATAACACACACACATATATACATATTATATATATTATTAATAAATTTTTTTGTTCTAGACCATGCAGGGGAGATTAGTATTCCTTGGATTGGTTTTAGAGATGTGGGCGGTTTAGCCAAGGCAAAGGAAGAATTAGGAGAAGTAGTAACCTACTTTCACCACTCAAACCTTTTTTGGCAGAAAGGGGCTAAGATTCCCAAGGGGATTTTGTTGGTTGGTCCTCCCGGGAATGGTAAAACTTTGCTAGCCAAAGCTTTAGCCAAATATTATGATAGCAAAAATATATCAACTCCTTGCAAAGATAAGAAAACGTAAAGATTTTGATCAATTCAAACTATGTTTATGTTATCATACTATTGTTACTACTGTTAAAACTAATTTCAGATAGTTTTAATATTTCAAAAAATTCATTAAATAAATTAAATAATAACGACCAAAAAAAATCATTTACCAGGTCCCTAGAGGTAAAAAAAATTTTTTTTTAATTAAAATTATCACCATCATCAATTATTACTGTTAGAAATATTGACCGATTTTACTATGTAAATTCGAATTTTACTATGATGCAGATATCATGTTTTACAACCTCATGTAGATCGGCGGGGACTGTTATAAATGCTCTGAGATTTTATAAGTAACGAGATTTAAACATGAGACGTATTTTTTACTTACACCATAAACTTGAGTTTTATCTTGATTGCCTGAAGGACAGAGACATCGTGTCCGGACGTAGAAGGTTGAGTGAGTTCCTTGCACTAAATAGCCTGAGGGAAATAACTACGTTGTTGGTGTTGCAAAAAAAAAAATATGGATGGCCATCCTATTTATGTATTTCGAAATAGACTATTTTAAAAAGCATAGGTTTACTTTGCATTTCCATTTGTAAACTTGTTAATTTACTTATAATTTATGATCAATAGGCAAGACTCCTTAAAATTATCAAGTGTCAAATCATCTCTTTTCTTCTTTATAATCATCAACATCTTTGTTATTATAAAAGTTTTTCTTCTTTCTTATTACAATAATTTTTTAATGGAAATTAATTAATATTATCGATATATGAATTATCCCTTAATATTAAACGGTTTTTCGGCTATTGATAGCCGAAATTTTTTTTCTGTTATAAAAAACTTTTTCTGAAGGTATTACTTCCTAATACGAAAATGATCTTTGAGATTCAGCTGATTGATCTGTGAATAAAAATTCGGTTGTTGTCCTTGTGGTTTTCGTAAAATCTTCCTTAAAAGTTGGTCGATTGACTATTTTTACTTTGCAGATCGTTAAATTGGCCAATAAGAATGCAAGATCGTGATCAAAAAATTATTTTGTGTTACTACTAAAGAATACTTTGACCGTTTAAAGGATAATATGGAAATTAATGGGTTGTGCCCATTTCTCTGATAGTATGTTTTCTAATACATTCTATCAGTTTATTATGGAGGTCATCTTGTCGGGAAAATGATTGTTTGTGAATTGTAATGCTTGAAAATAAAAACAAAATCTTTTATAAATTAATTAGAAATTGCTATAAAATACCTCAATTGAAAATGAATTTCAGACAAGCAACTACTATCTTGGCTGGAGTTGTAATCTTTAAAACCTTCTTTCACTATATTGACATTAACTGTAATAATTATGCGAATGATTATTCTGACAAAATTCTTATATAAAATGTTGATAATTGCCATATTCAGAGTATATGATTTCGGCCATAATTTCAGTCAAATTTTAAAATTTTTTCTGTACTATTACTACAAATTAAAATTTCTGGTAATTTTGATTGAATTTTCAACTTGGTGAGTGGTGAAAATTGCTTGCTGGGTTGTTGGTTCAAATCCCCCCCCCTACTACGTGGGATTCGTGGGAGTGCAAATAAATGGGGTTCATGTGAGATGAATACTCATAATGTGAGGTGTATCCTCACGCTCCCCGTTCTCGCGATGTGTAGGGGGGGATTATTATTATTATTATTTGCAAAATAAAATTCTTCTTTCCCAACAACAATTAAAATAAAAATTCAATTTTTTACTTTGACCAAAATAACTATTCATTTTATTTTCCTTTTGCTTCGGAAAAATTGTTATTGTTTACTGGTGAAAAAGTATTTTAAGGCACCAGGATTATTACTATTATTATTATTATCACTATCACTTGTTTGATTAATAATATTTACAATGCTCATAGTATATGTTCTTATTATACAATAATAATATTATTATCAAATCTACAACTTATTTTTAGCTTTTAAAATTTTAGAGGTTAATGCCAAAAACAATTTAGAAAAGAAACAGGTATCTTTATGCAAGAATATATTTATATGATCATTATTACTTTCGAAACAACGAAAAAGTTGCATTGAATAAACATGGCAAATATTGTGTTTGTTAACTTTGAATTGGTGTGTTGGTTCCAAAACTATGGAGCTTCGCAACTGTGCAAAATTCAAAAGGTTTTGATTTTTGACTTTTGACTTTTGATTTAGTTTTGACATATAACTTTTAATTTTAGTTTTAACTTTTGCCCCTCAAAATAGTTTTGACAAACAACACTACTTTGAGTTAAACCAGTTCCAATACATACTAGAAAAAGCTTTCTTGATATATTACTTCTTTACGTGTTGTAAGAAATTAAGGTATAGCAAGTATTTGCAGAGTAAGGTTGCCAATGATAAAATACGGTTAGGAAATTAATTATTTGATTTCCTTTTGGGTGATTTCCTGCAGAAACTTTGTTAGTAAAGAATCGATTTTTGGTATGATAAGATTTATATTAAATTTATTTACACTTTATGAATTTAAAGAGATTACATTCATGAGCATGAGAACACCGAAGAACAATTGTAACTAAATTCTTCTAGTGCTACGGTTTGGAGATCCCAAAATGGAGATCTTTCATGGAAATAAAGGAACTGGTTATAAATGAGGAGGGATCTTATGTATATGAAGTATTATCAACATTATTGAATATTGCAATGAGAGATCTATCGGTGAATATTGATATATGGGGCATTTGGTTGGTGTAATTTCAACTCTTATTTTTTACAAGTTCAAGTTTATGAGATCTATTTATCAAGCATTATAGGGAAGATGAGGTGAATTCAGCTAGTGCAGAGTGAAAAGGTTTTCCCAACAAGCATGACGAACCGATTACAGAGTTGTCACAAAAATAAAAGATAAAAAGGTCTAAATCGGGTACCTTGAAACTGGCCAACTAGATTCTGCTCTTAAGAAGCAATGGCAGAACCACAATAAGTTAAATCAGCTTTCGAAAGACACTATTGATTTTACAAATTTATCAAAGAATGAAAGAGTATTCAGGATTAATGTTGCTGGTAATACAATAGAACTCTATTGTATGTATGATATGCCTCCCATTTATAAGAAATGTTTACTTAAAACGAGCAACCATCCCACTATATATTTCATCTGCAAAACCGGAAGATCTTTACCATCTCATTCAAACATTATTAACTTCTAAAACTGCAATTACGTGTACCAAATGGAAAATTTTATATACCACTAACAATTCAGATGAAGCGTCATCAATAATTTCATCATCTTCAGATATATCAATAATGTCATCACAAACATCAACAGTGTCAACAATTGCTTCCCCGAAAAGTCTGCCATCTCTCATAGACCATGAAAAAGAAACTTCAAACAATTCATGTATTTTCATATACTTTATTTTTTTCTATATCATCAATAAACTGACTCAGCTGGTCAAGATTTTCATACCTTTGTAAAATAAAGTAATGATACACATGAATTATATCCGATAATCTCCCACCACATATCTGATGAAATTAAGCATGGCTGAGAATATTAGAATCGAGGTTATTTGCCTCTAAATATCTGCATACCTCTTCATAATTGAATACTGCTTTCATATCTTGCGTATTCCTGTTTATGATAGTTATAAAATTTTTGTCAATTGTATGCATATAGGTTAATCATGTTCCCATGGGACCTTGCTTTATTTTACGAAATAAAAACTTTAATGTAGTAAAGACATAAAAAAATAAAAAAGTATAGCCCCAAAAGGACATGAAAAATACCTCACTATTAACACCATTGGTTTTATATAAGAGGCGAACTTGATTCAGATTAGGATCCACATTGAAATATTCAGAAACCTCGGCTGTTGATTTCGTAGGAATAAGTATGAAATTAATAGAAAGTTCTTGGTGACCTTGATTGTTCAACAGACCTTTAATTGCAGATTTAAGTGTAGCAATATTATCTACTTATTCCAATTTTAAAACAATCTCCGTCTGGAAAACGACAATTGAGATTAATAGGATTGGTTATTTTGCGTTTTCTAAATACAAAATTATAATGAGTAAAAATTTGTTTTTTATAGATAAAGCCACAAATAATGTATAACGAACCAATATATATTACCTTACAGAAATCACAGGAAGATGAAAAATGATGCCTTGTAAATCCATCTTATTTATATTGTTTCATTTGCTTAATCTGAGAACCTGCTAGAAGAAGAATACATGATTAGTGATTATATTAATCCTGATCATTTGCCAGATCCTTTCTTCATAAAGCAGGTCCATTAGAATCACAAGCGCCAAGCACTGAATATATGAACAACCCCGAAGTATGAAAAGTTGTGGTTCGAATTCTCCAACTACCAATTTCTATTTTGATAAGTTGAGTGGTGGCAATGTGATGTTTAACATTGATATTATAGTTTGTCACGAATAAAGGACAATAGATGTAATATGTACTCCGGATTAAGAAAAAAGATAATGAATAAATTTTGCAAAAATTTTTTTTGCACGTGAAATAGTTCTGGAAATAGATGATTTAATCTTTATATTCAGACATATAAATAACGTAATTTTCTCAATTTTTAATTGTTTTGTTGTTTTCATCATCTTGTATATATATAATAAACCTATTTTTAACCATAAAAAATAATCTATCAGAAATAAAGAACCCTTTTCAACAGTGAAGAAGAAATAAGGGACTAACCTTGTATAGTTATTTTTCTTTATTTCCTTACTTTTTTTATATTGTTAGCGAGGAATTGTTAATGAGGTATAGTGTATTGAGATATTATTTAAAGAGGTATTGTTGAGTGAAATATCATTTAGCAAGGTTTTGATTTACATATTAATATATATACATTGGCGGAAATCATTATTTGTGACTCGGGACACGAAAATAATTAATTATAATATTTCTTCTCAATATCCGTCGATCAACCGTGGGATAAAATTGATATCTGGATGGTCGCGTATATTCACGGATATTCACGGATACTATCCGACGGATATAACCACTAATCCACTTTAATGTAGCTCATATTCACTGGTTTAAAACGTTAATCTCGTAACCTTGTTGCCATTTCGGAGAGTATTAGTGATGGCTTGCCTTTTTTTCAGTTGGGTTAAACCTTTCTATTTACTAGTGATAAAAACAATTATTGTGAGTATATATAATAACCATAATATTATTGCTACTATTATTATTATTATTATTTTCCAAAATAACCACAATAACCTATTATTACTACTATTGTTTATTATCACTACTATTGCTGCTATTATTCTTATTATTTATTATTTATTAATAGTGATTGTTGTGAATATGTATAGTAAAAAAATTGTTATTTTTTGTAATAAATAACAACGATTATTGTTGTAAAGTAGCATTATATATATATATAATAGATTAAAGAAAAAAAGAAAAAACAAAAATAATCGCAAAACAGTAAAATTGGGATGATCTACATCATAACCAGTAAAATTTTGAATTTACAAGTAAAATTTTATAATCGAATCGAATGTCTTCCCTTTTTTGTTGTGTAGCAACCACCGCGATATAACTTCTTTATCATATTAATGTGTATCTGCTTTAAGAAAATTTTTAAAGAAGGTTGTTAATAAAACCGAAAATAATCTGACCCTCAAAGTCAAATTTTGCCTTAATATTCATATATGTAAAATTTTGTTTGACGCGTCCAATTGCAAATATAAGTAGAAAAAAGTGTCAAAATATTACATTATTATGAATATTTGCAGATTTTTGATCACTTAGGTATGTCTTTTATAGTAAAATCATTTATTTTAAAAGTAAATATAATAAATAAATAGATTTTAAAATTTTTCTTTACCTACAGTATATACATAAATAATGATTAAATTAAAAGGTGTTTTAACTTTATTCGTTTAATTATTTATCATAGTGATGTTATTAAATATGAGTTAAAAAAAAAGAGAAATTTATATACATAAATAAATAATAAATATAACCATTGAATAATTGATAAAACATTCATTTTTGTAAAACTTGCTTTGCAAACTTCATAGATCTTGTCCTTGACGCTTACTTCAATCACTCTTATACCAACTCTTGAATAATTGATGAAATGCTTGTTAGTATATTTTGTTCAATAGATTTTGTCCTTAACGCTTTCCTACACAAACTATTGAATAATTAATAAAACGTCCATTAGAATATTTTGTTCATAGATCTTGTCCTTAATGCTTACTTTGATCACTCCTATACAAACTATTAAATAATTAATAAAACGTTCGTTATTATATTTTGTTCATAGATCTTGTCCTTAACGCTTACTTTGATCACTCCTACACAAACCATTGAATAATTGATAAAACGTTCGTTAATATATTTTGCAAGCTTCATAGATCTTGTCCTTAACACTTACTTCGAACTCCTATATACACAAACTGTATCCTAATCTTTATTATCATCCTCAAAAAACGATGATTCGTTATCGTCGTTTGCTATTTGTTGCTACTAATATTGTTTAATGTTGCTATAACAACTACTAATTAATGGTATTCATAATAATCATCAATAAAACTTTAATCAATATAAAACAATCACTAATAAAATACCTTTTAGTTTTTGTTGAATCCCATCTACATAAAATTCTTCATGACTATTAAAATTTCTATAAAATAGTTTTTCGTGAACCTCCCTAAAACTTATTAACCAATATCCCCATAAAGTAATGACCATATGAAGGTTTAACGTATTCTACACCTTCTCATTTACTATCAAGTCTTTGAAAGCAATATTAAGAAATAATCTGAGCTTTGAAGTGAAAAAATAATACCGTTTTTGAATAGCCGTGAATTGATGTAGAGAAGACCTTTCGATATGAAAGAGTATTCATTAGAAAGCTTTAATGGAGTATTTTATTTTACTCTAACAACAAAGTTCGAGTTTATTATAAAAATAACGAGATATTTTTAAAAAAACTTCATGTGACACGAATTTCGAATTTATTTTCACATATTAATATAGAAAATCAATTGATATGACATGTCCTGCGACTGCTAATACCGGCATCAAGGTGTCAATTTCCGTCGCAGAATGCAATTGCTCTTACGGTGCGCAAGATTCAAGGCCTAACACTTAGAGATGCGATCCGTGGATGATCAATCCGGATGGACGGATGGCTTTTTTAAAATGCTAACGGATTGCGGATTGAAATTTTAGAAATTATTTTTATCATCTTTATCTAATTCATTTTTCGATGTTTTTATTTCCATTGCTTCTTTACTAGTTTGTAAGATTACTTACAATGAATAATGATAATAAAGAATATAATTACAATGGCAATGATGACGGTAATGATAATGAGAGTGAACTTACCTTGCAGGGAATTTATTGACTGTTAAAAGATCACGTTTAGATTTAGAATTGTTTAAACGAATTTTGTTTTTAAAAAGAAATGCAAGTTGTGTTAAATGTATTCACCCACTGAATTAACTTTATAATAAATATAAACGAATTGTCATAAATTATTAGCATTACTACTCTTTTTGTAACATTTTATTAATACTAATACTAATATTGCTGAATTATCCGTTCAAACCATGGATGATCCGTTCAATTTTTCGGATTATCCGAATAATCCGTTTGAATCCGACGGATGTATTTTTGAACAATTAACGGATGACGGATTGATTTTTAGAGATAAATGACGGATGAACGGATGACGGATATCCGCGAATCGCATCAGGACAAATCTATGTGACGATGAGTCGAGCTTCTTCCTGGAAGTCGTTGGACATTCTATCTTTTGATTTTGACTGTTTAAAAGTAGACGGCAATGTCGTAGATGATAAGTATAAGAGATTAAATTTCTTTAAACAAAAGAAATGCACAAGTCTTGAATGAATTCTTTAACAACGAAATTTTCTATTTCGCTAGCTGATTTTTTATAAGATTATTAATTATCTATTACTGTCATCATGGTATTATACGCCCTTTTCACACTAATAAATTAATATAAATTTTGAATAAAAATTTCATTATTTAAAGAACAACTTTAACATTAACAAAAATTCATCATCAAACTTTAGTGATTGATTGATTCATCGTGATTCTAATGAATTCTTCTTTTTCTTTGTTTAATAAAACTTCACTATAGAGAGTTTATATTAAAAATCATTATATCGATAATCAAATGGGAAAATTTTCAACTCATTATATCACTACATAGTAGGTTCACTATATCGAGCGCTGACTATAATATATAGAAACACTTGATGCAATCTTGGAAAATAATTCTGAAAAGAAAAATCATCAACTTGTTTTAATTAAATATTATATGTATTTATTACGTTATATACTTTTCGTATCCCAATTTCTATATTTATGTGATCTCCAACGCAAGGGTCTTTTAATCTCATTAAAGTGATTGTTTATTTGGATTAAACTTGGACAATTCCATAACCTTCTTAGATATTTACAAAATCGTGTAACCAATCGGTTTTTTAGAACATCGTTATTAATCTAAATTCAAACTGTCTCATATTGATAGAGGCTCTCTATGTAAAGCCATAGGTAGTTATTCAACAACTGCATTACCTTTAAGATTTTTATCCAATATCGCCTTTATTAAACTTGATGTGTGGTCATAGCAAAAAACATATAAATTTATTTTCTAGAAGAAGGGGAAAAATCAAGGCTTTCTCAATTGCGATATAATAAAGCATTTTTAATCCGTTTTCCTAGAGACCTTTGTTACCGCATTCTATTCTTTTTTTCTACCGACTCGCTGCCTTTTTTAACAAGATTAAAGTTAGCAAGGTATTTGCTACGACGTCCTATAAGAGAATATTTATATATAGATCGTTCTAACCATTTTATTCATATTGATTAATTTTAGCAAGATCGTTAAAGATTATTATTTTTTAAAACAAAAAATAAAAATAAGTTTACATATTCGTTATCTTTAATATTAATTTCCAATCCTGCTTCACTTGTTCACTTGTAATAAAAATTCTTGTAAAATAAATATGAAATTGTGAAATTATAATACTTGATGTGATTAATAAATCTCAAGTAGGTACGAACGACTTCAAGGATATATTATGTACCGACTGCTTATCAATTTATTATGTTCGCGTTAGCTGTCAAGTTTTTAATGTTATATATATCTTTAAATAATATC